AATTGGGAATAATTATTGAATTTTTTACTTCAGCTTTTACTCCAACAGACTTCAGTAATAAATGTGTTCAGTTCTGACAGGATACTCTGGTAGTGAAAATGGTAGAAGTTCTTAATAATATGTGGTTCTGATTAAGCTTATAATTCCCAAGTTTGAAAGAACTGAGTATTGAAGAAAATATTTATCAGTTTATATTGGATGACAGTATGGCAAACTGTCAAAATATCATAGAAAAATGTAGATCAATTCTATGACAATTTCCATAGAGGAAGAATGCAACTGTTTTCAGAAATCTATTGTTTTTCAAGAAAGGGCAAAACAAAAGAAAATAGATTTATGAATTGAAACCCAAGGCTTCTAATTTGTTTAGATAAGTGGTAGAAAATATGTGTTTAGAATCAGCCAGATATTGTTTTGACAATTTTGTGTTTTGTGACCATGTAACAGCTACTTTACTTTAAATTCCATCTTATTCTTGGCATGAATATGGTTAATTTAATATCAGTATTTTTAATTACTTAGATACATAAAATAACACAGTAGACTGTAACATTATTTCCTTCTGAATGAATGTAACCTAATACTTGACAGAAAGAACATAACTGAAGAAAGATTCATTTTTTGTTTCTCACAGATTTAGCGATATTGTAGTCTATAAAAATAGGGACATTAACAGCAGTTTATGGTGGTCAGAACATATGGTAGAGATTCTTTTTTTCTGTAAGATATTTTTTATTTTTATATTTATTAATTACAATTTATTCACTTTGTATCCCACCTGTAGCTCCCTCCCTCTTTCTCTCCCAATCCTGCCCTTCCTCCTTCTTCTCCACCCATGCCCTTCCCCCAGTCCTGCCCTTCCTTCTGATCCAAATTCATCAGGTTTCATGAAGACTGGCTGCATTGTCTTCCTCTGTGGCCTGGTAAGGCTGCTCCCCCATCAGTGGGAGGTGATTAAAGAGCACGTCACTGAGTCCATGTCAGAGACAACCCCTGTTCCCATTACTAGGGAACCCATTTGGACACTGAGCTGCCATGGGCTACATCTATGGAGAGGTTCTAGGTTATCTCCATGCATGGTCCTTGGTTGGAGTATCAGTCTCAGAAACACCCCCTGTGTTCAGCTTTTTTGGTTCTGTTACTCTCCTTGTGGAGCTCCTGTACCCCCCCAGGTATGTTTTCTCCCCCTTCTTTCATAAGATTCCTTGCATTCTGTCCAAAGTTTGGCTATGAGTCTCAGCATCTGTTTTGATACCATGTGGGGTTGAATCTTTCAAAGGCCCTCCATGTTAGGCTCCTGTTCTGTTCCCTGTTTTCTCCCTCTTCTGATGTCCATCCCCTTTGCCTTTCTGAATGAGGATTAAGCATCTTACCCAGAGTCCTCCTTCTTGATTATCTCCTTTAGCTGTACAAATTTTAGTATGTTTATACTGTATTACATGTCTAATATTCACTTAAGAGTGAGTATATACCTTGTGTGTCTTTCTGCTTCTGGGATACCTCACTCAGGATGATCTTTTCTAGTTCCCATCATTTGCCTGCAAATTTCATGATTTCCTTCTTTCTGATTGCTGAGTAGTATTCCATTGTGTAAATGTACCACAATTTCTGTATCCATTTCTCAACTGAGGGACATCTGGGTTGTTTCCAGCTTCTGGCTATTACAAATAAAGCTGCTACAAACATGGTTGAGCAAATGTCCTTGTTGTATACTTGAGCATCTTTTGGATATAAGCCTAGGAGTAGTATAGCTGGATCTTGAGGAAGCACTACTCCTAATAGTCTGAGAAAGCACCAGATTGACTTCCAAAGTGGTTGTGCAAGTTTATGTGCCCACCCACAATGGAGGAGGGTTCCCCATTCTCCACATCCTCTTTAGCATGTGTTGTCACTTGAGTTTTTGATCTTAGCCATTCTGATGAGTATAAGGTGAAATATAAGGGTTGTTTTGATTTGCATTTCCCTGATGACTAAGAATGTTGAGCATTTCTTTAAGTGTTTCTCTGCCATTTGATATTCCTCTATTGAGAAATACTTGTTTAGCTTTGTACAACACCCTTCACAATAGCTACAAAGGACATAAAGTACCTTTGTGTGACCCTAACCAAACAAGTCAAAGACTTGTATGAAAAAAACTTTCAGGCTCTGAAGAGAGAAATAGAAGAAATCAGAAGATGGAAAGATCTCCCATGGTCATGGATTGACGGGATTATCGTAGTAAAATGGCCATCTTACCAAAAGCAATCTACAGATTCAATGCAATTCCCATCAAATTAACAACACAATTCTTTACAGACTTTGAAAGAAAAATTCTCAACTTCATATGGAATAACAAGAAACACAAAATCTCTAAAACAATCCTCTACAATAACAGATCTTCCAGAGGTATCCTTCCCTGATCTCAGGCTGTACTATAGAGCAACAATAGCAAGAAACTGCATGGTACTGGCATAAAAACAGAATGGTGGATCAATGGAATGGAATAGAAGAGCCTGAAAAAAAACCCACACACTTATGGACACCTGATTTTTTACAAAGATGCCAAAACCATACAATGGAAAAAAGACAGTATCTTCAAGAAATGATGCTGGTCTAACTGAATGTCTACATGTAGAAAAATGCAAATAGATTCATATTTACCATTCTGCACAAAGCTAAAGTCCAAATAGAACAAAGACCTCAATATGGACAATAGTATATCAAAATGGACACATAAACCTGTTAGAAGAAAAAGTGGGGAAAAGCCTTGAACTCATTGGCACAGGAGACAACTTCTTGAATATAACACCAATAGCACAGGCTCTAAGATCAACAATCAATAAATGGGACCTCTTGAAACTGAAAAGCTTCTGTAAAGCAAAGGACACTGTCGTTGCAACAAAACAACAGCCTACAGACTGGGAGAGGATCTTCACCAACCCTATATCTAACAGAGGGCTAATGTCTTGAATACATAAAGAACTAAAGAAGTTAAACAGCAGCAAATCAAGTAATCTAATTAAAAAATGGAATACAGAGCTAAACAGAGATCCTTTTCATGGTAGCAAGAGAAGAAGAAAAGAGAGGGTATAATCAGTAAAAGTACTATCTTTCTCCTAGTGTGCCTATCAAACCATATATCCTAAGGACCCAGCCTTCAAATTAGTGTCACATGCTGAGGACCAACTGTGAAAAACAAAAGCCCGTGGGGAAATATCAAATTAACATGATCATAGTGGAAGCTAATAATTTATATCAGCTTTCTTTTCTTTCTTTTAGTTTTTTCTTTAGATATATGTAAAGCATTCAAGGCACAAGGGCACTTGGAATTTGAGGAATCACAAAACTTAAAAATGGAGTTTTGGTATATAAATCCTCTGGGACACTTCTCTAAGAACTACATGTGAAAATTATATTTTGAAAACAGCCAATTTGTGACAAGGTTCTAATTTCCTTGACTATTTTACTAATTGGCCTAGTTAAATATTTTAATATCCTGCATGAAGATTTTCAATATTTTTAATTTATCTTAATAGCCATGTACAAATATTTATGAAAGTTTAGCCCAGAAAGTGAAGGTTAATATCTGTTCTTTAGAGGGTTCACACAAAATTACCTCATCATAAGCAATCTCATTTTGCAAGAGACAAATCTATCTTTAAAAATTCTCTCCAGTAAATCTAAATATAAGCAAGGTCATTTTTCATTAAAGCATGGAGGACCCTCTACTATTTACTTTTGTAGAAACAAATACAATCAAAATGATTTAGATGAGAGTTAGTAATACGATGTACAGCTTAAAAAGCTGTTTCAGTCATTTAGAGTAAGTCAGTTTTATAAGAGAGATGTTGGCTTCAGAAGTGCCCCGGTGGTAACAGCATCCTCCGAGAGGGGGGTCATCACACCCCCTTTCCAAATCTACTTCCTCTCATCTGCTTCCCTGCATTCTCCAGATGATTGTCCTCAAATTCCACCTTCCCTCACCTCAACAAGGAACAGCTCTTACCTCACAGGCTGGTGTGTTCTTCAAAGTTATTTGGAAAACCTCCACTAATCTCTGTACTTTACATCTTGACAATCAATTGGATAGTAGTAATGGCTCATGGTTGATGGGTTCTCAGCATGAGCCCAGTATTAGTGAAGCCCATGCACAGTCTCCCTTAATCTGCACCACAACACATACTCCATAGTAACCCTAAATACTTCATTTTAAATATAATCCCGAGAGGTTAAATAATGTGTCTAGTAAGTGTCATTGTTGGAATTTACTCAAATCTCACAGCTATGCTAGAATACTCTAGTTCATGGCTCAAAACTTAACCAACATTTGTTTAACTATTGCCAATGATAATCAATATAGACGTGGTTACCATTTTATTTTATTTTAAATAACACAATATACATTAAAAAATAACTTAACCAAAATATATCAAACCTCACAGACACATGAACGTGTGCAAGGTTTAAATTTACCTGGAAGTAGTTTGCTGTGACATGATTCTGAGAAATAGGGAAGAACTCCGGTCCATAAGATAAAGGAACAAGGTTAATTAAGGTGAGTCATGCTTTCATGTCATTCTTTGAGGAAAAGTTTTTCCGGCAGGCAAGCTATTGAGAAACTCTGGAGAGCTAATCCACAAGACTCATAACACTGAGCACATGAAATGCATTTCCCTGTGGGCAAGGAGAGGAGGAACTGTTGCCTGTGCCATGTGTTTCTCTGAACACTGAGGACTACAATTGTGTTTTGATGTTAATCCAACAACTGATGTTTCTTGTTGTGAAGCTCTTTATGAAAATGTGCGTGACAGTGTAAATCTTTCTAAATTGGACTGAACGCTATTTAAAAGGCTGGCGTTTTAAAATACCGTTACAAAGCCTCTGAACAAGATGATTCCACAATAAAGCCCCTCCCTGCGTGACCTATTTGGTATGAAAGATGAATATGAAGCTATGTTAAAATCAAATCTGCACATCTGCTGCATTGTGTGTGAGCACTTTACATGTTTAGAAACAATTACCTCTAACGCTTTGATGTCCTCATAAGCAAACTGCACAGTTGGAACTCCAAGATGGTTGATGAAATAATCAGCATCACCTTGTATCTGTACAGAGCTGACATTGGTTCCTGGGCACTGAGCTCTTCTTAAACAGTTGACCTTAGTTTTCTGAAAAACATGATTTCAATTTTGTTAACATAGACTCATGGTGCCCAAATAAGTTGTAAGTCAGTGTCACTCAAAATGTAGTTCAAGGACCAGAGAACCAATCTATGTCAGTGAAATACAAGTTTAAAATGCACAATAATAGGCTTCATCATGTAATAATGTCCTGAATCAGGGTACTCTGGACTTCACAGACACATGAACAATGTGTCTAATTAGAGAGGTCTAATGGGACCATTTGGAGGTAGAGGGAGGAATCTGTTTTCCATTTCTTGTGTATGATTCCAATGCTCATAGTAATATGGTTAGCATCAAGGCAAATGAAGGTGACTCTTATCCCTAGGCACTAGGCAGATGCACACACACACACACACACACACACACACACACACACACACACACACATGTTATTAAAGCACTGTTGAAATTTGAAATCACTGCTAGCGTTCATAATAATTTTTAACTTTATATTGTCAACCCCTTGACATTCATCTTTCATGTAAAGAAGCAAACGTGTTGTGGATTGAGACATTTGACTCCTTAATTAGCAGCTATTGTACTCTTGCTCTCTTGCAGCCTGAAATACTTTAAGCAAAATGTCTATAAGTCAAATTGCCAGCTGGATTAGCCTAGGCCAGCAGCAGTCATGTTGAAAACTCCAACATGCCTCCAGACAACTATGCAAAAGGTGAAAGCTGATTGTCCAGGCACTCCAAAGCACAGCCTCACCTAGTGCTGTTACAGACCTTCTATGACAAACTTTCAAGCACAAGCTTCAAAGAATCATTTCCACCTTTACCACAGATGGTGCAAGGATGACTTTGACTGGTACTGAAACAAGAGTCAGTGATTGTTTCAAACTACTAACCTTAGTGACTATGATTGATGTTATGTGATGATGCTGTAACTGGCCCAGGCTAGTACTTATGATTGATCCAAACGCTCCCCATTACTATCAGGATACTGATCTGGAAGACATTCTCCTGAGCTGTGTCTCTCCTAAGTTACTTAGGCCCATTAGTTTTCTCCAGTAGTCTTGTCTTGACTATTTTTAGTAATATGAGCTAAGATGAGATCATGAGGAAAATATGGATCAGAAATAGCAAGGACTAATAGGAAAGGTGGTGATAGACTATACAGTGGCTGCTGGTAATGTGAAATGGCATTTGTTTCAGCTTGCCAGGAAGATGCAGTAATGCTGACCACAGACCTGATCCCAGGGGCTCACATACTGCCTGGCACTCTGTGGATCTGGTACACTGTGCAAGGCTCCAGAATATCTCAGCTTCTATACAGTACCATATTTCCAAGCATCAGGCTCCAGCTTCAAACTCAGAACATCAGCAAACTATTGTTTGACTACTGAATATCCAGTTAGAGACACCAGCATTCTATCTCCAGCAATCCCTGTGCCTGAATGGCACTGACTGCACCCTTTTCCCAGTGTTTAAGAGCCTACCATTTCCTACCCCAGAGGATATGCCCCTCAGCCCTGACTATTTGACAGTGCTCAGGAAACCTAGGTTTCCTTCTTTAGCACCTTATAGTCTTTTATATGTTCTCTTCCACTTCTTTCTGTTATTTCAGCTTTCTTTATTTTTCTCTTCCTTCCCACCCATGCCACTATGAATGTGTTCCAATAGCTAGTTTCTTCTTACAGCAGCTAAAGGGAAAGCTTGGGTTATCTGTCGCTCGTGACATTGTATCTGACATCTGTTTAGAATATTATTCTTTCAAAGAATAGTTCAGTGTAGAGGGTAGTAGCTAGCTGCTGTGAGATAGATCCTATTGGCTATACCTGAGCTACCTCATCATCTAAAAACAAGGAACATACACCTGTAAGGGAGCCTAAATTTAACCTTCCACAGCTCAATGGTGAGTAGCAACCCTGGGAAGAGGTGGTGGAGAACAGATGGCTAGACACTGACAAACTAAAAGAACAATGTGCAGGAAGCTCAGTTACCTACCGTAACAGCAGAAAAGCACCTAAGTAGACCTTCTGAGGTAGGAATGCAGCATAACACCCGAACTTAATAACAGTTAAACTAAGGTCAGCAGGTAACTCAACCTAAGGAAATATCGACTCATTATTCAGTGCGGTAGAGCCCAAGGCTTGGAAAATCTGGAAAGGGCCAAGGCAAGCCCTCCGTCTGTAGAGATCTTATTTCCCAGACTCCCAGGACATTTGGGGGACATCCATTAGCTAGGTCATTAGACAGTGCCAGATGCATCATCATCTGTAGACTATCAGGGGGTGAAAGAACCCGCCTAGCTCTCAGAAGGCCAAACTAAGCACGTCCTATTACCCAACAAAAGAGAACCTACTAAACTGAAGACAGCTGTGGTAGACCTCAGACACAACTGCAATCTAGGATCAACAGCAGCATGAGCCACAAGAGGACAGGAGCTGACAGGGAACCTGATCCTACACATACTCTACAGTCTTCACATTTCAAGACCCTTGGACATTGCTCCAATATTTCTGTCTTTTTTGTTCCTTTCTCCTCTTTCTTCTCCTTATAGGTCTGCTGTGTCCTTTTTACTCTAATTTTAGCAGTATTTTTACTTTATCATGTTTTTAAAAATATATTTACCTTCATACTTTTACTGAATTTTGTTTACTTACATTTTCAGTATTAGATCACCTTAATTTAATTTTCTTACTATTATTTTTATTTAATTTCAAAATTTTCAATATTCATTATATATATATATATATATATATATATATATATATATATATATATATTAGCATGCATCAATTTTTTTCCTAAAATTTCTCGGTCAACCTCCAGTTGATATACATACTCATGAGTGAGAATGAGAGACATTGAAAGCGTCTGTGACAAACTCTCTCTGCTCCCTCCCTCCTCCAAAAAGAGAAAGAAGAAACAGTACAGACATGAAAATGTTGTAGACTGTCCTTAAAAATTGTTATAAAGATGCTGAAGTGCAGCTCTTCACAGCTGATGTCTTCTGGTGTGTGTGGGGTGGAGACTAAATTTTCTTTAAGGGGACAGTCACTAGAAACTTTGACTTTGTGCCAATATATATGGGCAAGACAAACTGGATTAAGTGGAGTTTTTATTTGTTTGTTTGTTTGGTTGGTTGGTTGCTTTGGTTTGTTTATCTTTTTGTTTGTTGTTTTTGCTTTTTGCTTGGGTGGGGAGGTAGAGCTCAAGGGTGAGGCAAGGACAGGAGGGTAGACCTGAGAGAAGCAGAAAGGGACATTGACTTGGGTGCATTGTATAAATTTCCCTAAGAATAATAAATAAGGATATTATGTTTGGGGAAAAAGCAAAAGAAGGTGACATAACTTGTGCCAACGTCAGTGACTCCTCAATTGTGAGTTCAACAGGGTAAAATGATTGGTGAAGATTTCAACAGTGCAATAGTAAAAAAAACAATCAAACACCTCAAAGAGGATAAAACAAGGAAATGAATTCAAGGCAGGCTGTGGATAAAACAGGAAAATCTCAGAAAGGTGGGTGAATAAAGGAGCAATAGACCCAAATAATTCAACAGCATGGAAGAACATTTTTGGAAATAAAAAAATATTCAGCATCTGTTTTGATATATTGCTAGGTAGAATCTTTCAGGTGCCCTCTGTGGAAGGCTCCTGTCCTGTTACTTGTTTACTCCTACCTCCAATGTCCATCCCATTTGTCTTTCTAAGTGAGGATTGATCATCTTACCCCGGGTCCTCGTTCTTGTTTGTCTTTCTTAGGTGTACAAATTTTAGCATGTTTATCTTATCTTATAGGTCTATATAAATGAGCATATACCATGTGTGTCTTTCTGTTTCTGGGATACCTCACTCAGGATGATCTTTTCTAGATCCTACCATTTGGCTACAAATTTCATGATTTCCTTGTTTTTAATTGCTGAGTAGTATTCCATTGTGTAAAAGTACAGATGCCCTCCCTCCCCCTTCTTCATGCATGTCTCTCCCCAAGTCCACTGATAGGGGAGGTCCTCCTCTCTTTCCTTCTGATCTTAGTCTATCAGATCACATCAGGAGTGGCTGCATTGTCATCTTCTGTGGCCTGGTAAGGCTGCTCCCCCCTCAGGGGGCGGTGATCAAAAGAGCAGGGCAATCAGATTATGTCAGAGGCAGTCCGTCTTCCCATCACTATGGAACTCACTTGGACACTGAACTGTCATGGGATACATCTGTGCAGGGGTTTTAGGTTATCTCCATGCCTGGTACTTGGTTGGAGTATGAGTGTCTGGGAAGACCCCTGTGTTCAAATTTTCTGGTTCTGTTGCTCTCCTTGTGGAGTTCCTGTCCTCTCCAGATCTTACTATATCCCACTTCTTTCAAAAGATTCCATGCACTCTGCCCAATAGTTGGCCATAAGTCAAACTGGGACCGGGAGGGGAGGAGGGAGGAGCTTATGTGGGGATAAAAAGTGAATAAAGTGTAATTAATAAAATAAAATTAAATTTAAAAAAAGGAGTAAGAATAGATTTAGATAAGGTTTTTAGACTGTAAAATAGTGAATCTGCTGACTTTATGACAAATACTAAACTAAATTCTTTCCAAGCTTCACCATAATTAATCCATATGAACTTCCCTTGCTTGTTTGTTTAACTAGCTGATGTTTTTTTTTTTTAATTATGACAAACATGAAAAATATTTTTAGAGTAATGATGGGGAATATATAAATGTATGTATTAAATAAAGTCTCTAATTACAAAAAAAAAAAAAAGTACAGATGCTGAGACTCATAATCAAACCTTGGGCAAAGTGCAGGGAATCATATGGAAGAAGGGGGAGTTAGTATGACCTGCAGAGGACAGGAGCTCCACAAGGACCAAATATATCTGGACACAGGGGTCTTTAATAAGACTGTTTCTCCAACAAAGGACCATGAACATATATAATATAGAACCCCTGCCCAGATGTAATCCATCACAACTCAGTATCCAAATGGGTTCCCTAGTTAGGGTTACAGGAACTGTCTCTGACATGAATTCAATGGCTGACTCTTTGACCTCCC